ATGGTGTGCACACATCGTCAAGCAGCACGTCCACAGAAGATGCACATTGATGAAGTGGTGTCAAGGCATTCTCCTCTCCCCCCACCGGCACCCCCGCACCTCCAGCATGCAAGGCGTTGCTTGATGCTCAGGCCTTTTGCTTGCGCCAATCATTGCGGTATGGTTCACTCGCCCCTCCCATACCTGAGAGGTTCAGCCGCTGCCACAGACTGTGGCTGCGGATCACAGCAGCAAACACAGCCTACATCACATACCTGCAGCCTGCACGTTGTTGCATCGCGCCCCTGCAGCCTGCACGTTGTCGCACACGCTCCGCACAGCCCGCCCCCACCTGAGGTTGAGCCGCTGCCGCACGCTCTGGCTGTCAGTGAATGCAAAGACAGGGCAGTCTGGCCTGCAGCGGCTGAGGAAGTGGGCCATGTAGCCGCGCCTCGTGAACACAAAGATGGCCGTGGCACGCAGGCGGTTCGCCATCAGAGCAGCGCTGGCGCAGATCTGCAGCAGCAGCAGCAGCAGCAGCGGGAGCAGCAGGAGCAGCAGAGGCGATGTTTCACATAGTTAGTCAGCTCATCTTGGTCGAGATCAAGTGTAGACATGCATCCACACAGCCGGTGTGATGGGTGACATCAGAGAGAGTGCAGCAACGCATTCTGTGATGCACCTGCACCTGGTAATACCAGCAGCTCAGCACTGACACCAGCACACCGCTCTGCAGGGGGGCATGTCGCCAGCATGCTCCAGCTTGGAGTGTGGGTGACTAGCGGCAGCAATCCACTACGTAATGATCAGTCACAGCCGCAGCTGCTACCTGCAGGCTGTTTGGGCGGTGCACTGACGCGCAGTCTGTGGCAGCACCACTGCCCAAATGTACACAACCATGCTGACGATGCGCGGCTCAGCTTGCTGCAGCATTCACCAAGGTACAGGGCACTTCACCTCTCTGCTGACCTGGCCATTCCGGTAACCTGCTGATCTGCGCTGCACTACCAACGCTGCACACATACACAGATCAACATTGCAGCACTCGCGTGAGCGTGCTGCAGTGTAGAGCTGAACCGAGGCAAAGTGAGAGCGCCTTGGCATTGGTGGTTTGGGTGCTCACCTCTTCGCTGATCTGTCCATCCGATGTTTCGCCAATCTGCGGCAGCACCACCGCGCCGTACTTCTCGTCCCGCACCCATTCCTCCATGCGGGTGGCAACGGAGCGCAGCACACCCAGCGCCTTCTGTGGGTATGCACCCATGGCTGACTCACCTGCATAACACGTGATGTAACATGTCACATGACAAAAGCAGGCAAGGACTGTGATGGGAGGCGCTGTTGGAAGCAAGGCTTGGCACAGCACGTGCCGGCTGCCATGCCTGCGCATCACCTCCACTCAATCAGAGCACGGGCAGCCGTGCGCTACCGGCAGCTGACCAAGCACAAGGTGCGGTGACCAGGACAACCAAGTCACACACTGACACCCACCTGACAGCATCAGTGCGTCAGCTCGCTGCCGCACCACATCTGCCACGTCAGCCACCTCGGCGCGTGTTGGGATGGGGTACTCGATCATGCTGTGCAGCAGCTGGTGCGCCACGATGGCGGGCTTGCCCAGCTGCCTGGCGCGGCTCACGGCAAACTTCTGCACGCTGGGCACCTCCTCCACCGGGATCTGCGGCGCGCGGCGGGCGGGGGCGGGTGATGCACAGCAGGGGACCGACTTCAAGTGGGGGGAACACACACGAGTGCTGCTGCTGCTGCTGCTGCTGCTGCTGCTGCTGCTGATGGAATGCGTCACCGTGCGACCACAAAGGCACCTGCGATACTCAGCATCGCAGCGTGGGGTGGCGACTCCAGCAGGACTTGCGGCGTGCAGGGAGCGCCGGAAGGCGGCTGTGGGTGCATGGCAAATGGTGGGGGCAGGTGGCCCCTCTTGCTTGAGGACACGGGAGTGCTCGGCTGGCGCCTTCAACACATGAGAAGCTGGGGTGGTGCTCGTACCAGGGCCAGCTGCAGCATGGTCGGGCGGCGGGGGCGTACCTGCCAGGCACGCCACCAACGTTGCAGCCGTGCACAGTTTGCTGCACATGCAGCTGTTTGGCAGTGGACCTTGACCAGCGGTTCATACCTGGGCGCCCAGGTCGCCACGTGCCACCATGATGCCGTCTGCTGCGCGGATGATCTCATCCAGGTGCTGCAGGCAGTCAAACGCCTCAAGCTTTGCTATCAGCTCGATGCACGGCTCCTCGTCTGAACTGCTGCTGCCTGCTGCAGAAGAGTGGGCAGTGCAAGCAGCAACACATGCCAGCTGGCTCGCCACACACAAACCGTTGCACACGGACAGTCTGAAACCACGTGCTGTGTTGCCGGACCCTGGGGTGTGTGTGCAGTTCCACTACCGCAGGTAGCCTTACACCATGACAGCAAACACAGGCACAGTGGCACAACAGCCGCAGCTTGCGATAGCACGCACCTGCTTCCTGCAAGCCTCGGGGCCCTGTGCGTGTCTCAATGTAGCTGCGCAGGTTGGTGATGACATCAGCAGTGCGCACAAACGACACTGCAATGAAGTCAACCTGTGCAATTGCAAAAGCAGCACAGCAGCTCAGCAGGAGATGTGCTGTACCGGCAATGCGAGTCTCAGCTGCGCATGAGATCAGGTCACCTGTGCAGGCCAGCAATGTATGCGCTGCGTCTTCAGCATACCAAAAAAGTCAGCAGCAGTACAGCAGAGCACCATCATCGAGCCAGATGAGACACCAACTGCTTCTGCTTGCAGACAATATGCATGCCACCCACAAGTAGCGTTCAGATGCAAAAGGGCAGTTATGCTGCATCTCAACTACAGCCAGCATGTAAGGACAAACTGAAACTTGCCCGCACCTGTGCTGAGATGGCCCAATCAATGTCACGCCAGTCCTTAGATGATATGACAGGCAGCAATGCTGCACGGCCCCTGATGAGTTCGTTGTTGCGCCTACAAAGGAAGCATATGGTGGACTCCTTTTCACCACAAAGATTTAAGCCGAAAGTTAGAGGCATGAATTTGAGAACCCCAAAACCACTTGGTCCATGTGTGCATCACAAATCTCCCAGCCAAAAGGAAGCATTATGGACTCTTTTTCACCACAAAGCTCCAAGCCAAAAGAAAAAAGAGGATCTCGCTTCACTGGCGCCTCACTCCCCGAGATCGTTTATCCCTCAGGCTCAAGCTCAGTGTGTATATGGAAAATTGGTGTGTGCAGGTAGCACATGGCTGGACACAATGCAGCAGCACACGTGAAACAGCAAGAAAGCTATGTTAAGGTGTGTCTGTGGGGTGAAACATGCATATTGATGAGTTACAAATGAACTGAGATCTGCAAGCATATGCAAGGGGAAGAGACTAAAGGCCTTGCGGCACCTTGTGCACATCATCATCATCATCATATTACCCAAGCCATAGCATCAGCGCCATCGGCCCCGCGCCCCACCGGGGCGGAAAGAGGAGGGAGCACTGCTCCAGAATGTTTGCATGCATTGCGCACATCCCAAGACTTGACAAGAAAAGCAGCAATACACGGTGACACCATCAGACATCTTCCAGAACTGCCCCAAATATCATCAGATACAAAACGCAACACCTTGATTGACGAATCAGCCATGGACAAAACGCTGCGCAACTTTTCAGCGCAACCAGGCAGGGATCTGATCTCAGCAAACATATCATCCCTCTGAGCAGAAGTAGCAGGGCAATCAAACATGAAGTGTGACAAAGACTCAACTTCTGCACCACAACAAGGACATCCTGAAGTGGAGTTAGCTCTGCGACCGCCAAACTGACTAGTGCGCTCATGTACACACAGACAACCCATACGAACACGCAACAGCAATTCAATACCACGTGGAATTGCCACTGAACGCAAATACGGCCTAGGCCTCCTGAAACCCATAGCATCAACATGAGAGGGATGCACATGAGCCACATACCGACTCAGAGTGGAGTGTTCCAACGTTTCACATGCAATCCTTTCAGCATGTAGTGTCTTGACCTGCTTGTTGACATGGCTCTTGCACGCACTGGCTCTGCCTTCCGCGGTCACAACATTCACACCATACTTGCACAGCAGGCTCTGCACATACTTGTGCCACGGTGTCACCGCCACAGCACCACTAGGACGCCTCCACTCAGCTGTAAACACTTGATTTGGCAGCCGAACGCCCTGCATACGCTGAATCCTGTAGTAGTACTCCAAAGCCCTCTGATGAAGCCACATATGCAACGGTTTCACACCCCATTCTGCCAAGAGAGCTGAAGAGCATGGGCGCTCCTTGCCACAGCGCATTGCGCATTTGATGATGTCTGTCTGCACTTTGTCAATCAGCTGCAGTTGCCTAGCTGTGGACGGAAACCTTGTGCACATGACTGAAATGGGATGTATCAATGTGCCTGTTGTTGTTCAAATGGTGTAGACCGCTGTATACTGCTCGCGTAAGAACAGGGCACAGTGCGATGAGTGAACCGTGTTGCGGCCAGCCAATCGCAGTATGTCAAGATAGGGCATGTGCCGGGCCCTGGCCAGAGCAGTGCACTGCGTCCACGTGGATGCAAGAGCCCTCAAAACGAACACCTGCCCAAGCCACTTGACGCCATTTGAGGGCGTGTGAAGGCATAGGGGGGTAGCTCAAGCATTCATTGTGAAGTATTGCAGGACACACACTTTACAAAGCATAGTGCAGCACATGGTCATCGTGCGTGGCCACCCCTATGCTACAGTCTTTCAGCAGCAGAAGTGCTCATCATGCATCCCAAGACGCCTGAAGACTCTGCCCTGCTAGACAGTGCAAGAAGCCTGAAGGCTCTGCCCTGCACTGTCTAGCAGTCATATGTGACTGGCAGCAGTGCTGCACCACCTAAAATGGATTTGTTGTCGCGCCTGACAGAACTTGGTAAGCATTAAGCTAGCTGGGCCTTACCCAGCGCACTTGTGTCTCCTGAGCTCAGGACGATAGCCAGCCACTCACGGGCCCGATAATGCCACCTATCGGATTCGAACCAATGACCTCCTCCTTACTAAAGAGGCGCTCTAACCAACTGAGCTAAGGCGGCAATTGATGACAAACAAAGGTTAATTTGATACCACAAACCCGAAATCACCATTCCATGGTTCGAACCCGGCCCCAATAACCCAAAATTCAGCAGCGACTAGGTCCAGCAGGTGGCCCTGCCCAGGCGCCACCTGCTGACCAGCAGCTTATCACTCAGTTGTTGCAGCCTGCTACTCCCTCAGCTGCGCAACTGGCTCATAATGAGGCAGTGAGGCAGCACAGAGAGCAGCAGCAGCTACAGCTTCAGCAGCGGCGACAGCAGGAGCTTGATGAGCTGGTGCAGACGAAGAAGAAGGCGGCGGTGGCTAGGTTTTGGGAGCTGCTGGTTGACTTCATAGTCATCAAGGCGGCACCCTTGACCTGGCTGGATAATGTGCCAGCTGATCACCCCTTTTTACGCGTGGTTGAAGGCCGGCTGCAGCTAGCACCAAGAAGGGACTTGGCCTCTGCGTCATAGCATGAATTGGGGTTATTTCTTGCATCCTCTGCTCTTTGATCCGTTTTGCTACATGTGGTTGCATGTCTTGTGCTGTTAGTACTCTCATGCAGCCTGTGTCAGCCAGTAGGTGTGTTGGGCAGGTGCCATTGCCAGGGGTGTGGCCTTGCCAGACACATCAGTAGGGTGGCAGGTGCCTGTGGTGCCACGGCGCTGCGGGTTATGCTGTTGCTTTGTGCGCGTTCTAGTAGCAGAGAGTTATGATCATGTTGATCATCATGTTGTACAATGTCTTCAACACCTGAAGCAGGAGCACCGAGGTGCCCAGTACCTGCTAGTTGTTGCCATGTCTGCATGTTCCAATCCTATTTCGCTGACGTTGACACCTTTTTGTTCCGTCCTGATGATTTTTCTCTGCGCAGAGTTTGTGTTATTTTGGGTGAGGAAACTGCAAATTGCTTCTCTGAGGCTTTTTGTGGTTTATTCTCGTGTCCTGCGCGCTGCAGTCCTCGAAGTGTTCCGTTTCCAACGTGCACACCCATGTAACTCTCCTCAACCGACTAGGGATGGTGTTGGTAGTGTGACCGCTGCGCAGCGTAAACTTTGGAAGTTGCGCTGGGATAACCGCATCAAAGAGGTGTTCTGGCGTGTGGTGTTGAATGGTGTACCTACTGCTGCTCGAACGCCAAGCGTGCAGCGTGCTTGCTTGTGTGGTGCATGTATGCCTGGGTATGACCACCATTACTGGCACTGCCCTGTTGCGCAAGCGGTGGTGCACTCCATAGTGGATAATTTGCCTACAGCATGGTGCACTCGCACGCCTGGATCCTCAGCTTTAAGTATGCAGCATATTTGGCTCATGCAACCGCCGCGTGGTGGACGGAGTGTGCTCACATGCGTGTGGCGGCCGAGCGTTCACCCATGTCAGGGCAGATGCAGCGTCCCGCATAGACAGAATATACTGTTCCGGCGCTTTGATGTCGCAGCTGGTGGCATGCCGGCATGAGGCCAAATGTGCAACACTCAGCAATCGATCACATGTTATGGCACAGCTACAGCGCATGGACAGGAGCGCCAGGGCCTGGCTTGCGGCGGCTATGCTTGTTATTTCAGGCCAATGCAACGTGCAGGTTTGCAATGCAACAATGACGTTTTCTATCAGCAGCCTCCACAGACACTGCGAGTGTTGTTGAACAATGGTGGCCGGATGTTGAATGCCAGCTGACCACACAAAAAACGCTTCGACACCGTGTTCATTTGGGGTGGCTCATACCTTCTAAGATGGTGACTGGACCCGCAAGTAAATACTCTCTCTCAAACATCCACAGACCTTAGCCGTCAGGAAAAGCAGGCGCAGGCAGGGCAACCGCCAGCAGCACAACAAGCAACAGCAGTGGCAGCAGTGCTGGCAGCGCACGCGCAGCTTGAAGCATGCTGTGATGCTGCGCTTCCGGCTGCGCTGCCATCTGTTGTCCAATCAAACAGGCAACTAGCTGCGATGCAGCAGCAGGAGGAGGACCGCCGCCGACAGCACTGCGTGCACCAGGGCGAGCGGCCTGGGACTGCCCTGTCCCAACTCCTGCAAACCCCTCAACCGCAAGGGCGCCACCTTCATATCAGGTCTGCATGCTCCCGGTAGTGGTCATATGGTGGGAGACGGCGCAAGTCGGCGTGGTTCATAGGCCAGCGATACGCCACCCAGTGCCGCTGCAGTGCCGCATGTGCAGCCGACAGCTGGGCAATTGCAAGCAGCTTTGCAGGCAGAGACGCAGCACTCGCAGCGCTTGGGTACAGCAGCAGCAGCCCAGCTGGGCAAAGCAGCGGTGACAGTAGAGGCGGCGATCTCTGCCATTTGTCACACTGCCTTTGGGAAAGCACCTGGACCATATGCATCCCTGTTGGACAGCACCGCGAGATTTTCCGCCCCTACGGGCAGCATTGTGTTCTGCTGTTGGCCCAGCGCAGCGTGTTCCACACAGCTCTCTTGATGGCGTCATTTTGCCTGTGCAGAAGCCTGGTGGGAACGCTCACCCTCGCTGCAGCCACCTACAACTGCCCTCACTGCAGCCGCGCAACCAGGGGGTGTGCCTGACGCAGTCTTCAGGGCAGTCCGTGTCGAAGGCATGAACCATCAGCTCCCCGAATGAGGGGCCGGCTGCCACCATGGCTGGGCTGGGCGAGGGTGCCCGTGCAGCAGGCGTCTGGCAGGTGTTTGCCTCTGAGCACAGCAGCGCGCCTATGGCGGAAGAGAGGCTAGTGGTATGACCATCCTTGCAAGGTGAAGTCAGGGAGACGCATAAAGCTCCTGCTACTTGAAGTTTGGCGGCCCCATTCTCCAGCGCATGCAGCCAAGTTTGGCGGCCTCCCTGCCCCTGTGTGGCTTGGGGCCCTGGTCAGCTGACAGCTCCCAGCCAGCAGCTGCCACAGGTGCAACTGCAGCAAGGAGGGCTGCTGCAGGCTCTGCAGCAGCCACGGCCGCCACAGGTGCTCACACGGCCACCTGGAGGAGGGGCAGGGGGTGCGGCGGCGGCCACGGCAGGCCTGCCCTCGTTCTTAGAGTTAGTTGCGCACGTGCGTCCTTGGACACCAGGGGAGCACCGCAGCGGTGACGATGTGCTGCAGCCATGCGCAATCTCTCTCGCTCTCCCTCTTTCGCTCCCTCTCTCTCCCTCTCTCTCTGCCTCTCTCTCTCCTCTCTCTCTCCTCTCTCTCTCTCAGCCAAAGCTGTGAGTGGCTCAGCGAGTGTGGCACTAGGCAGCTATGGGGATGGAGCTGTTAGACAACCGCCCGGCTCCAGCAGCAGCAGCAGCAGCAGCAGCAGCAGCAGCAGCAGCAGCAGCAGCAGCAAGAATGGCAGCTGTGTCTTCCACTTAGCAACAGTGGTGGGTCTGGCTACAACGGCAGCAGTAGATGCTACAGGAAAGCTTCAAGCACCATATCCTGGTAGCAGCAGCAGGGGGGCAGCAGCAGCTGACAAGCTGCTGCTGCTGCTGCTGCTGCTGCACGCAATGAGTATCGAGAGCACAGTCAGGGAGGTGGGAGGCAGTGATGGACGCAGCAACCAAGACAATGCAGCAGCAATCAGCACTCCAACTTCTGCTGGTGCATCTGCTGGCTGCAAGTGGCAGTGCGAGCTGCACGAGCTGCGACAGCAGCCAACCATGCTGTTTCTGCAAGCGACAGCAGCCGGCAGATGGGGGCACGGCCTTTTATGATGGGGGCAGGCAGCGGCAGCAACAGCAGTGATGAGGGCAACAATGCATCGACAGTGACAGCAACATCACCCCCGCACTTGTATTCACAGCAGCTGGCAAGGCTGGTGAAGCTGCTGCGGTTGGCAGCAGCGGCAAGGTGGCATCACTTAAGCCTGCTGCCCCAGCAGCGTCACGACTGGCCACCAGGGCGCTGCTGGCAAGGGCAGGGGCAGTGTCAAGAGCAGTGGCAGCAGCGGCAGTGGCAGCAGGGCCAGCAAACTCGGTGGCAGCAAAGCTGGCAGTGGCAGCAGCAGAGGGCTCACTGTGCCGCAGCAGTTGGGGCCGCACGGGCAGGAGGGACAGCAGCTGCAGGGTCCAAAAGACGGCAACAGTAGCAGGGGCAACAGCTGGTGATGCAGCAGTAGCAGCAGAGATGACTGGCGAAGCACCGGTAGCTGGTGCTAAACAGCCTGCTAGCTCCACCGAGCGCAGCCTGAGCCCACAGAAAAGAGGCTTGGTGGGGAGCAGCAGGCAGGAAAATGATACTGCAGGAAACCCATGACAACTGCCCACCAGCTGCTGGAACAGCACAGCTAGATGGCATGCCAGCCGCTGATACAGGCTAGCAGCACATCAACCCGGTTAGGTACTGCGTCCATGCAACGCTGGTTACCATCAACCAGTCAACCTGGTTGCTTCAACGCTCCGGATATGTCCGACGCTGCCGCCCTGCGGTGCTCGAGGCAGCACAGCAGCAGCAGCAGCAGCAGCAGCAGCAGCAGCAGCAGCAGCAGACAGTGCCGCAGCAAAACCAGCTTGACGTTTTGGCGGTCATGTCGACAGCCCCTGTCAGTTCCGCCCCCACCTTGCGATGCCCAAGGACCGATCATGCAAGAGGAGCTGACTAGCGCTTGAAGCCTCGCCTGGCCAGCCTCAACATTGGCGGCCCACCCGCTGCCAACCTGGTTGCATGTGCTTCTCAGGCAGTCTGTGTTACTTTGGTTGAGGAAGCTGCAACATTGCTGCTCTGAAGCATTTTGTGGTTCATTTCTTGTCAAGCGCGCTGCACTCCTCAAAGTGTTCTGTTTACATTGGGCAGCATACATCTGGCAACAAAGGATTTGGCGGTTAAGCATTCTTGGGTTGCAGTCTGAGCTGAACTGTTTGCAGCTGTCTGTTATTTCAAGTTTTGACGGCTCAGCGTGTTGATGGAAAATCGGTGTGTGCAGGTAGCACGTGACTGGACACAATGCAGCAGCACACCTGAAACAGCAAGAAAGCTATGTTAAGGTGTGTTGCACTTGGCAGGAGTGTCTGTTTGGTGAAACATGCACTGCCAGTGATGAGTTATGATGTTGATGAGTTACAAAT